TGGGCCATTTCGTGCTGTGGCGCGCCATCTCGGAATGCGCATTCGGCTGGAAGGGCCAACCTGAACCATGCTGCGCCATCTTGGGAGCCATCCCGGGCTGCCGTGAGCCATGAAGGAGCTATTCGGGGCCATCCTGGGCGCTCCCGCGTTTCGAGGAATCCCAGTCGAGACCACATGTGCACTGCTCCCCCCGGGGCTGCTCGCCCCTCTCGTCGCCTCCGGTGCGCGCCCGTCGGCCGGCGAGGAGGAGGCCGGCGCGCGGAGGTCGGAGCAGCACCTCCGCCAACAGGAGCAGCAAGCGCATGAGTTCGGCTGCGCCGTGCACGTGCCAGCAGCGACCACGCGCGGAACACGGGGGCAGGAGTGGAAGGATCTCGGCCCCCAGAAGGTCTCGGAGACTCTCCGAAGGATCAGAAACATGAGAGCCCCACCGGGGGCGACGCCGGGGCCACGTGAGCCCCACCGGGGGCCTCCTCCTCCTCCTCCTCCTCCTCCTCCTCCTCCTCCTCCTCCTCCTCCTCCTCCCTCGCCGAAGACAGGGGCCAGCGGCGCCCCTGGCTGCGTGTGCACTGCTCCCCCCGCCGCCTCCCGTGCCTGCCCGTCGGCCGACGAGGAGGAGGCCGGCGCGCGGAGAGGCCGGGGCAGCACCTCCGTCCACAGGAGGAGGAGGAGGGAGGAGGAGGAGGAGGAGCTGGAGGAGGAGGAGGAAGGAGGAGGAGGAGGAGGAGAGGGAGGAGGAGGAGGAGGAGGAGGAGGAGGAGGAGGAGGAGGAGGAGGAGGAGGAGGAGGAGGAGGAGGAGCGGGAGGAGGAGGAGGGGGAGGAGGAGGAGGGGCAGCACCTCCGCCAACAGGAGCAGCAATCGCACGAGCCGGCTGCGCGACGCACGTGCAAGCAGCGACCACCAGTGAAGCACATACAGAGGAAACAGAACTATGCACATACACCGATTCTGGCCGGGCCCATCCTGAGCCCAGGATCGGTCCTGCCTTGGCCAGGAAGGCATATGCACCGATCCTGGGTCAAGCATGGGCCTTGCCAGGATCGGTGCATGTGCATAGTTCTCTTCGCCCGAACATAGGCAGGCAGCACGCGGGAGGGGGGGGGAGGAGCGGGGAGGAAGCGGACAGCTGCGCGCTCTCGCACCGAGCGTGCCGGCCCCCCGAGGCCAGGCGCCTAGGTTTAGGTCGGGCATGTCCTCCTACAGGCAACAAGTACACGTCGTTCATTTCTAGTCGTGCTCATTTCTGATCGTGTTCGTTTCTGACTGTTCCTGGCCCCCCAGTGTCCAGGAAGAGGCCCAAGACAGAACATTCAGACATGACAGGATCTTGGCCCCCAAAAAACAAAAGAACTTTCGAATCATTGAACATGAACCAGGCGTACGCAAACATAAGCAAAAACGGCACAAACAAATTATCCCCAGATTATGTGTCGACTTGATCTGGCTGCTTTTTCCCGGAAAGGGCTCGAGCCCAGGGTTCTCTTTTAGATGGTTTACCCCCCGGTTTCGACGGCTGTAGGGCCGGCGAAATTATTCTGCGATGAATTACGTGCGGGAGTAGGGCCGGCGGAATTATTCCCGGAAAGGGCCTGGGCCCAGGGTTCTCTTTTAGTGGGTTTACCCCCCGGTTTTTACTTGAAGGGGGCCGGCGAATTTCTTGTGCGATAAATTACAAGGTCGAAGGGGGCCGGCGAATTAAAATTGTGAGGACGAAGGCAATTTTTCGCCACCCCTCACGCAGATCGTGCTCTTGGAATTTTACTGCCTTTAAGGAAACCTCGATATTTCACAGGTGAAGTCAGCTTTTTTCCGACATCGACTTTAAACGATAAAAAAACAAGGTAAACGCGTTCGCTCGATATATAACGAGGTACCGCGGCCTCCGGAACGGCGCTGGGAACGGAGTTTTGCATTTTTGAAGTTGCATAAGTTCGGAAATAGCAGAAATCCCCTGTGTTTTTGGACCCTGACTCCGCGGATCTGCGTGAGGGGTGGCACCGAATTTCAGAAATGTGGCAAATCCCATGTGTTTTTGGACCCTGACCCCGCCGATCTGCGTGAGGGGTGGCGCGGAATTCCAGAAATGTGGCAAATCTCCTGTGTTTTTGGACCCTGACCCCGCCGATCTGCGTGAGGGGTGGAAATGTGGCAAATCCCCTGTGTTTTCGGATCCTGACCCCGCCGACCTGCGTGAGGGGTGGCACCGAATTTCAGATATGTGGCAAGTCCCATGTGTTTTCGAACCTTGACTTCGCCCAGGAGGGCCCAGGAGGCTCCAGGAGAGCCCAGGAGAGCCCAGGAGGGCCCAGGAGAGCCCAGGAGGGCCCAGGAGGACCCAGGAGGCTCCAAGAGGCACCAGGGGGCCCAAGGAGGGCCCAGGAGAAGCTCCAGGAAGCTCCAGGAGAGCCCAGGAGGGCCCAAGAGGTCCAAGGAAGACCCAGGAGGGCCCAGGAGCCCTTACGAGGGATCGTGGCCCTGGGAGCGCTGACGTAGCGTAATTTACGAGGGATCGTGGCCCTGGGAGCGCGGGTGTAGTGTAATTTTTGAGGATGTCCCTAGCGAAACGCTTGTTTTTTTTCAGAATTTGTTGAGGATGTCTCGAGCGAAACGCTGGTTTTGCAGAGCCGACAGCGACGCGGAAAAGCGTCCCGCGCGCAGGAATTCCGATGATGTTTCGCGCGTGCGGCGTCCCGCGCGCAGGAATTTCGAGGATGTCTCGACTAATTCGTTTGTTTTGCGGGATTTCTTTGAATTTTGGCAGGATGTCTCGAGCGAAATGCTTGTCTTTCATAATTTGTTGAAGACGTTTCGAGCGAAACGCTGGTTTTGCAAAATGTTCATAATTTGTTGAGGATGCCTCGAGCGAAACACTGGTTTTGCAAACTTGGGGGATGTCTCGAGCGGGGGCCTCGTAGGGGGCCAGAATTCAGAGGATGTCTGAAGCAAAATGCTTGTTTTCACGTCCCGCTCGCAGGAATTCCGAGGATGTCTCGCGCGTGCCGCGTCCCGCGCGCAGGAATTTCGAGGATGTCTTGACTACTTCGTTTGTGTTGCCCGGATTTCCTTGGATTTTGATTGGATGTCTCGAGCGAAACGCTTTTCCCCAGCACGTTCCGTAGCGCGTCCCCTTGGCACGTCCCGCGGTGCGACCCCATGGCACGTCCCTTGGCACGTCGCTTGGCGCGTCCCTTGAGACGTTCCGCGGCGCGACCTCCTGGCATGTCCCCCTGTCAATTAGCTCTGGGGCAGCTACTATGTGTTCAGGCAGCTCGAGCTTAAGATCCAGATCAGTTCGGTCAGGACTCGGATGCAAAGGAGAACTCGATCCACGAGGCTATAGAGCAAAATCGCGCCATGGCACATCGCAATTCAGCACGGTGCAGCACAGCACAGCCCTCGGCAGGGTACATCAAGATCGATACCTTCAGCATTGCAACCTGGCACATTCCTTGGCACGTTCCGTGGCGCGTCCCGTGGCGAGCCCCCCTGGCACGTCGCGTAGCGCGTCCCCTGGCACATCCCGTGGCACATCCATTGGCCCGTTCCGTAGCGCGTCCTTTTGGCACGTCCCGCGGTGCGACCCCATGGCACGTCCCCTGGCACGTCGCCTGGCGCATCCCTTTGGACGTTTCGCGGCGTGTCCTCCTTGCATGTTCCCCTGTCAATTAGCTCTGGTGCAGCTACTATGTGTTCAGGCAGCTCGAGCTTAAGATCCAGATCAGTTCGGTCAGGACTCGGATGCACAGGATGACTCGATCCACGAGGCTATAGAGCAAAATCGCGCCATGGCACATCGCAATTCAGCACGGTGCAGCACAGCACAGCCCTCGGCAGGGTACATCAAGATCGATACCTTCAGCATTGCAGTTGCCCGTCACCCAACCAGATGTCTTTGAAAACGCTGCCATGTGTTACAGTTCTATATTCCTTTCCGGGTTCGTGGGTCGATCAAACGCTTGTTTTTCAGAATTTGTTGTGGATGTCTCGAGCGAAACGCTGGTTTTGCAGAGTTGGGGATGTCTCGAGCGAAACGTTGTTTCAGAATGTGTTGAGGATGTCTCGAGCGAAAACGCTGGTTTTGCAGAGCCGACCGCGACACGGAAAAGCGCGCCGCGTAGGAATTCCGAGGATGTCTCGCGCGTGCCGCGTCCCGCGCGCAGGAATTTCGAGGATGTCTCGACTAGTTTTGGCCTCCAGGCGCCTCTGGGCGTTCCTGGGCCCTCCTGCGCTCCAGACGACCGCATGTTAGATATCCCCCCCCTGGGTGGGCTGGACCACGTGTTTTTACGTGTGCAGGCCACCCAGGTTGTATCTAACATGGTGGTCACGAGCTGGAACCATATGTTTTTACGCGTCCAGGCCACCCAGGGGGATATCTAACATGGTCCTCCCGAGCTTGAACCATGTGTTTTTACGTATCCAGGCCACCCAGGGGGGTATCTAAAATGATTGTTCTGAGCAAGGACCACGTGTTATAACGAGTCCAGGCTACCCAAGGGTGTACATAGCTTGGTTTCCCGAGCTGGCACCATGTGTTTTTAGGTGTCCAGGCCATCCAGGGGGATATCTAACATGGTTGCCCCGAGCAAGGACCACGCATTTTAACGTTCCGTAGCGCGTCCCCTCGGCACGTCCCGCGGTGCGTCCCCGTGGCACGTCCCCTGGCACGTCGCCTGGCGCGTCCCTTGGGACGTTCCGCGGCGCGTCCTCCTGGCATGTTCCCCTGTCAATTAGCTCTGGGGCAGCTACTATGTGCTGAGGCAGCTCGAGCTTAAGATCCAGATCAGTTCGGTCAGGACTCGGATGCAAAGGAGGACTCGATCCACAACGCTATAGAGCACAATCGCGGCATGGCACATCGCAGTTCAGCACAGCGCAGCACAGCACAGCCCTCGTACATCAAGATCGATACACTCAGCATTACAACCTGGCACGTTCCGTGGCGCGTCCCGTGGCGAGTCCCCCTGGCACGTCGCGCGGCGCGTCCCCTGGCACGTCCCGTGGCACGTGCATTGGCACGTTCCGTAGCGCGTCCCCTCGGCACGTCCCGCGGTGCGTCTTCGTGGCACGTCCCTTGGCACGTCGCCTGGCGCATCCCTTGGGACGTTCCGCGGCGCGTCCTCCTGGCATGTTCCCCTGTCAATTAGCTCTGGGGCAGCTACTATGTGCTTTTTTTTTCACCCGACGGGTGGTCGTGGAGTCATGCAGCTGCATGATCCGCTCTGGACAATAAATACCCGACTGAACCACTAAGGAATCTCGCTCTACGATGCACGTGTCGCGCTGTCCGCCCTCAGTCGCAGCAGTGTCCAGAGAGGCACGGGGCACGCAGAAAGAACCAACGGTCTGACACTTAGGTCGGACGACGGAAAGAGCGACTCCAGACGTAAGGTTTATCAGGAATCTCGCGAGCCATCATAAGCGCGCCGGCGTCGTCGTCCTTTTCGTCGTTACGTCGTCAGCGTCGTCGTCGTCGTCGACGGATGGACGCCTCCGGAGAACCATCAAGCGCTTCTGAATCTCCTCACGAAGACCTCCTGGCCCCCTTCGTAGGACCGGCTGAAGCCGATCACTAAGTCACAGACTCGGGCCCCAGGGTCCGGAGAAACCGGAACACGTCCTGGGTGCTACCATACGGTTCAAAAGGGCACTTGGGGCACCTTTGTGCGAAACGATCCGCAGAGGGCCGCGAGAAGGCGATCAGTCACGTTCTCAAGCAACTTCCCAGACAGCTCTCTGGTAGCGTCATGCTACTTCAGAGCCTCCAGAAACTCTCGGGCCCATGAAGCCATGTCCCCGCAAGGCTTTCTGGGGACATGATTTGTTGGGGTGCGCAATGTAAGCTTAAAAAGGTCAACGATTCGCAGACAATCGCTGGCACACGTATCTGTTCTTGTCATTGCTCCATCCATGTTCTCGAAATGTCTGCCGATATGCTCGCTTACTCTTATCCAAGCCGTATTTGTCTGGCGCCTCTGCACCAACAAAACCATATCGTGCCTGGATCATTGTTAGCATGATCCGCTCCAGTGCATATAACTGTAAACAAACATCTTCTGAGCACGCAGTCTTGTAGGGCTTCGTGGTCCATGATTCAATCCATCGAGAAGCTGCATCCCTGAACTGCACATTTTCCAATAGCGGTGCGGAGCGTGCCCAATACATAGAACCTGCGGCCATGAGGTACTGATCGCGGGCAGGAAAACTACTGTTCTGGAAAATGTCGGCCCACACCCTTTTCATATAGTCTTCCATTTGTTTCTGGCCGTCGAGCATTGTAAAGGCATTGCCCCCCTTCTTCTCGTAAGTCTCCTCTACTGGTGTATCCCACGTCCATGTTAGTGACCACGGGCCTATTATTCCAAGGTCTGGCTGCCCATCAAATCTCGACAATATCTTGCTGACCTGCTCCGAACTCCCACAGAGCGACATCAGCATGGTGCAACGCCAGCGCGCGTCGGACTTCGTGTGCAGCTTCAGCAGCATGTCGTATCTCGAAGGGTCGCTCAAAGCCAACACCTGCTGGAAAAAGATGCCCGTGTCGGCGCCCTTGTTCGCCAGCGACAGATTCATATGAAGCTGGGCCCCCGACCAGTTTTGCACCCAACTGGCGGCGTCGTCAACCATCTTCTGGATGGCCTCCTGCCTCTGGCCAGGCACCCAAACGGGTCTGCCCACATAGACGTCCACTCGGCGAGGAGGAGCGGCCGAGCCCGCCGCGATCAGCACGTTCGTCAAGCACTCCTGCAGGGGAGGCCACACCGACGGGTTGCCCACCTGCACGAAGACCGCCACCGGCTTCGCCCACGAAGGCCTGCGCCCGGCGAGGCCCCAGGCCGCTGGCCGCGGGCCGCCCCTTCCACCGAGGCCGGCCGCCCGGAGGCAGTGGGCGAGGACGGCGCACGACAGGAGCGCCGCCACCGCGGGGACGCGGGCGTCGGCGAGGGCCCGCGGCAGGCCCATGCGGCCGCGCGGCAGGCCCAAGAGGAGCCTTGAGCCAAAATGGCTACGGAGGGGCAGCTACTATGTGCTGAGGCAGCTCGAGCTTAAGATCCAGATCAGTTCGGTCAGGACCCCGATGCAAAGGAGGACTCGATCCACAACGCTATAGAGCACAATCGCGGCATGGCACATCGCAATTCAGCACGGCGCTGCACAGCACAGCCCTCGGCACGGTACATCAAGATCGATCCTTTCAGCCTTGCGTTTGCCCGTCGCCCAATCAGGTGTCTTTGAAACGTTGCTATGCCTTACATTTCTATATTCCTTTCCGGGTTCGTGGGTCGATCATGTTTATCAATGTTCCCGGAAAGGGCTCGAGCCAAGGGTTCTCTTTTAGATGGTTTACCCCCCGGTTTCGACGGCTGTAGGGCCAGCGAAATTATTCTGCGATCAATTACATGCGGGAGTAGGGCCGGCGGAATTATGTTTGAGGATGTCTCGAGCGAAACGCTTGTTTTTCAGAATTTGTTGTGGATGTCTCGAGCGAAACGCTGGTTTTGCAGAGTTGGGGATGTCTCGAGCGAAACGTTGTTTTCAGAATTTGTTGAGGATGTCTCGAGCGAAAACGCTGGTTTTGCAGAGCCGACCGCGACACGGAAAAGCGCGCCGCGTAGGAATTCCGAGGATGTCTCGCGCGTGCCGCGTCCCGCGCGCAGGAATTTCGAGGATGTCTCGACTAGTTTTGGCCTCCAGGCGCCTCTGGGCGTTCCTGGGCCTTCCTGCGCTCCAGACGACCGCATGTTAGATATCCCCCCCTGGGTGGGCTGGACCACGTGTTTTAACGTGTGCAGGCCACCCAGGTTGTATCTAACATGGTGGTCACGAGCTGGAACCATATGTTTTTACGCGTCCAGGCCACCCAGGGGGATATCTAACATGGTTGTCCCGAGCTTGAACCATGTGTTTTTTACGTATCCAGGCCACCCAGGGGGGTATCTAAAATGATTGTTCTGAGCAAGGACCACGTGTTATAACGAGTCCAGGCTACCCAGGGGTGTACATAGCTTGGTTTCCCGAGCTGGCACCATGTGTTTTTAGGTGTCCAGGCCATCCAGGGGGATATCTAACATGGTTGCCCCGAGCAAGGACCACGCATTTTAACGTTCCGTAGCGCGTCCCCTCGGCACGTCCCGCGGTGCGTCCCCGTGGCACGTCCCCTGGCACGTCGCCTGGCGCGTCCCTTGGGACGTTCCGCGGCGCGTCCTCTGGCATGTTCCCCTGTCAATTAGCTCTGGGGCAGCTACTATGTGCTGAGGCAGCTCGAGCTTAAGATCCAGATCAGTTCGGTCAGGACTCGGATGCAAAGGAGGACTCGATCCACAACGCTATAGAGCACAATCGCGGCATGGCACATCGCAGTTCAGCACAGCGCAGCACAGCACAGCCCTCGTACATCAAGATCGATACACTCAGCACTACAACCTGGCACGTTCCGTGGCGCGTCCCGTGGCGAGTCCCCCTGGCACGTCGCGCGGCGCGTCCCCTGGCACGTCCCGTGGCACGTGCATTGGCACGTTCCGTAGCGCGTCCCCTCGGCACGTCCCGCAGTGCGTCTTCGTGGCACGTCCCTTGGCACGTCGCCTGGCGCATCCCTTGGGACGTTCCGCGGCGCGTCCTCCTGGCATGTTCCCCTGTCAATTAGCCCTGGGGCAGCTACTATGTGCTGAGGCAGCTCGAGCTTAAGATCCAGATCAGTTCGGTCAGGACCCCGATGCAAAGGACGACTCGATCCACGAGGCTATAAGCACACTCGCGGCATGGCACATCGCAATTCAGCACGGCGCTGCACAGCACAGCCCTCGGCACGGTACATCAAGATCGATCCTTTCAGCATTGCGTTTGCCCGTCGCCCAATCAAGTGTCTTTGAAACGTTGTTATGCCTTACATTTCTATATTCCTTTCCGGGTGCGTGGGTCGATCATGTTCCTCCTGTATCGGGGATGGACAGAAACCCATTTAGTAAAACGTGGTTCAGTGAAAACGACCTCGGCTCAAACCTGGCGGGCGCAAGTCTGGAAAATAACGGCCGCGGCGCCCTCTCGAGAACCGAAATGGACAATTCACGAATCGACGTGTCATGGCGGGGGTCTGTCCACCCCCGAAAATGGTGGCTATGATTATGACGAGCGACAGGGCTGAACCTAAACGGTGTTCTTGGTTTCCGTGTTGTGTTCGTGTTCCCTCGCTTTTGTCTCGAGTCCTCCTTTACCGCAGAACGAAGTCGAAACGAAAACGGCTCACGAAATCACCGAACACACCGTTCAGGTCCAGCCCTGACGAGCAAGGCCCCCGACTGTAGAGGGACATGCCCGACTTAGGCCCAGGTTCTGCAACAGCACGCCGAGAGGGCCGCATGTGCGCTGGCCAGCGCCACGGAGGGCTGGCACGGTCCCGACGGCACACCCAGCGGCGAGGAGGAGGAGGAGGAGGAGGAGGAGGAGGAGGAGGACCATCACAGGCTAATGAGGAAGGCTAAGGTTAGGCCGACCCGACCCTAACCGAAACCTGCAGGTTACATCCGCTCACCACTTACGCTCTCATGTATCCTGCCTCGCCGCTCCCTCCTTGAGGAGCTGGGCAGCAGGAAAGGGCAGGGCAAGTCGGGGGCGGGCCTTCATACTGCTCTTGGGATGTCGGCCGCCTGACAGAAGAGACCACGCACCTTGGGAGAACTTGCTTCGGAAGCGCTCCTTACATTCACCTTTGAGCCCTTTGAGGTTGCTTTCCGTATACCGACCGCACCTCCTGCACACTACAATGAAGGACTCAATAGCAAGGTAATCACATATCATAAGTTGGTGCTTCTGGGGGTCTCTAATTAATTGTGAGAGTGTCGCCGAGTTGCCTGGGCACGGCTCCGCCGTGCGGGCTTTCTTGGTGGCGTCGGATCTAGCTATAGTATGGCATAGCAGGCACAGCCAGTGACCGTTCAACCAGCCCCAAGTGTGCCTACTGGCATTGACACGTGCACTCGCACGCCTGGGACCCGCAGCAGGGGGTGGGGGGGGTAAGCCACTCATGGACCGCACCCGCAGCCCCCACGGGGGGATTGAGGCTCTTGGCTGGGGTGGCAAAGGCTTTCTTCCCCGTCTTCGGCGCCAGCGGCGCCCAAAGTGAAAGGGCCTCACCAACGAATCGCACGAACCTCTGCACCCTGCTGCGAGTCTCTTTATAAAATTCAATCTCCAAAGTCGACGGGGCTGGGAACAAGGCAGCAGCATGTTTGGCCACCTTGTCCGCCCAGTCGTTTCCTTTTGCTAGAAACCAGTCCCTCGAGCCAGCCTCCAGGGGCTCAAGATCCTGGTGGGCCTTCACTTTCGCAATCTCGAGGGGCCCGAAGCTGGCCTGGGACCTGGCCAAAACAGAAACTCCAGAGTACATTTCTGTCCTACTAACCTCAGGGCTCTGGTGGACCGAGAGGATACCTTTGAAATCGGCCCACGCCTTCGTGACTCTGGGGCACGAGGCGGCAGCTAGAAAACCTAAGTGTTCGGCAGCAGGCGACGTCGGGGGCAGGCTGGCCCCCACGGGCCCCGAGAGGGAGGCAACTAGGTCGCCCTCCTCGTCGATTTTAACCACGGACCAGGCAGGGGCATCATAAACCGCGGGCCCAGGTTTTAAAACGCTGCCATCGTGAAACACTTCTCCATTCATGGCCACCTCCTTGGGTAGCCCATCGCGAGACCAATACACCGCTTGGTCTAATCCTAAACCAGGGGGCCTCAGAGCAATCGGTTCTGGTCGAAGCTGGAATCCCAAGACATATGGAAATCCCCTCCTCCCGTCTCTGAGCTCCTCCACGTCCCCCTCCTTCAACATCTCCTTCCTCGGGTTCTCCGTTTGCGGGCACGCGAAGAGTCTGTGGGGGATGGAGTCCACGGGGCCCCGGCATAAGTCGCACACGACTTCACCGTCAGACCCTGCAGACGTCATTTTCTCTTTGGTCCAAATACACTGGCAGCCGAAAGAGAGCAGCGTCTTGCGCTTGTGGCCTTGGATGGACTGGTCCTGCAGCGCGCGCTGCATGACCGCGGCGTCAAGCGGCTCGTCTAGGCCGAGCTTCTTACTCGCACGAAGATCCAACTGCTGCTGCCATTGGCTCTGAAACATCTTCTTAACTAGAGCGGGAGAGGTCGTGATGAGGGGGAAATCCTGGCCGTCCGAGTTCTGGAAAACGAACGGGTCGGGCACTGACCATCCCAGACGCTCAAGACTGAGAAGCGTGGCCCCAAGGGGCCCTCGGATTTGGTACCACTTCTTGGGAGGCTTGTTGAGCACCTCGAGGGCTTGGGCTCGAAGACCAGGAAGCGAGAAACTTACGGTACCAGGATAATGAGCAACTCTCCAAATCAGATTTGCCCAATAAGCCGCCGGCCCCAGAGCCGCACTCCAAGTCGGGTCACCCAGGATCGAGAGAGCCAGAGACCTGGACCTAGTAGCACAGCGGGGGCCCACAATCTTGAGGCGCAGGGACTGGGCCTCGTGCACCTCGGGGTTGGTTAAGCCAACAACCTCTGCTCCATAGTAGGCTGCCGCTTTCAACCCCGTCTGATAAACCTTACGCATGTTCGCACCTGCACGCCTAATCTGCGCCAAACGGTGGAGACGTCGTTTCATATTGGTCGTTCGCTTCTTGAGGATCACGCGATTCTTCTTCCTAAGACGGTTCCCCATGGCGAAATCAACTCCTAGGTTTGGCGCAGACTGAGCTTGGTGGACTCCATCGGGTCCACTGTATTTGCCCAGAGCCTTTGCCAAACGCTGCTGCACATCTGCGGACGAGCCCAACGCCGCCGCCTTGTGCAGCGCGACCGAGCAATCGAGGTCCTCCTCGATTAAATCTAGCATGCTCTCGGCGGCCTGCGCCAAGTCCGACACCAGAAGTCTGATACTAATGTTGCTGCTGCCCAACATGAAATCGTCTATAAAGATGGAGGGGTCCACGGAAAGGAACTTCGGAACCCAGGAATCCATGAGGAGGCACCGTGTACACTTGCACGTTGTA